ACCGGTACCAAAACGGAACCTTGGCCCTGCACCAAAACCCGCGGTTTGCCCCTCCTGTTTAATTTGAGCCACAGCCAAATCGGGGGTACTGTGAGCCCCCCCCCAATAGCTTCTAAAATGTGTGGTGCACCTACCCCAAAATAAGATCCCATTGGTGTTGACCGGCCCTTTGGCCCTGTGGCTCCCCAAGTTGGGGAAGTGCCCCCACCCCTTCCTGTCGCTTTCGCGAGCGGGTCACAGGAAGCAGCGCTTGAAGTGGCGCTGGGCCATGGCTCTCAGCTCGCTGACGCGGCGCAGCTGGCCGATCTCCAGGCTCAGCGCCTGGCCGCTGGGCAGGTGGACGTCCACCTGGATGCTGCCCCAGCCCAGCAGCGAGGCCACCGCAGCCATGAGGCATGGAGGGGGGGGGGTCGTGTTTTTGGAGGCCGGCGTTTGGAAGCCTCTAGGGGGCTAGATTTTGAATGCAAGTGGAGGAAGGTGGCTAAATCTAGGCCGCTTTGGGTCTGGGCCGCTTGAAAGCCAGATCCAACAAAGAAAGATGCTGTTGGGTGGGTGAGTGTCCAAGATGGCAGTTTGATGTGCTTGATTGGCCTTGGCGAAGCTGCCGAAAGCTTCACGGGTGTGTCTTTGTCTGAGGGTACCCATTTTGCTTCTGTCAGGAAAAACCAATGGAACACCGCCCGTTTATACGGTAGTGAGACAAGCCAAAAATGTTCGAGGTCAGAGCCTTCAAGTGCCATGAGGTTTGCCCTGGCTTTTTGGATGTGCCGGGTTTTCAGTCTCTGGGATGTGCCCTGCATTGTGGCTTTTTGTTTCGGATGTGCTTCTGTGGCGTGCCCTGCAGCGAGGCTTGAGAAAATTCAGCAGTTCCAACTGAGTGTCGCCTGAGCGGCGAACTGGCGTGTCGGAAAATCGCTGGTGCCTGATGATATTGGTGTGAATCTTTACTAGGGGACCCTGTGGTTGACATCATTAGGCAAGGAAGTGGTTTGCCACTAAAATCCCAGCCACATGCTGCGTGACAAAGGTCGAAGCCCTAAAAAAAGGGTTTACGCGAATGTTTGCAATACTTCTGGGCCTGTACATAGGACACACCTTTCTTGAAGCCTCCGCTTATTCTGCCAGTCTGCTTGGGGAACCTGAGTTGCCTGAAGTCTCAAAGTACCCGGCAACTTGGCAGCCCAACCGGTGCCGCAACTTTCACACTCAACTGGGCTGCCCTCAGATCCTCCGCCAAAGGTTTAACTTTTAGTGGGTTACATGGAAACTACCACTAAACACTAAAAGGCTAAAGGCTAAGGGGATGGCTGGGAGCCACCAAGTCAAGTAACTAGTCCTTTCTGCACAGACTGTTGCGCAGTATCCATCCATGAGTTGACAAGGTGTGGATGCTTGTCTTGCCGCGGGTGAGAAGGATGTGCGCACATGCTCAACCAGCACAATGAGATTCGCTTGCTTCGCTTGCGAAGCCGTATGGATTCAATCCACAATAGCATGTATCATGCTGGGCTGGTGTGTGATGAGAGGTCTGAACAATCAACCACTTATCAATCCCCCTGACTTCCTTAGATGAAATTAGACATGGTGGGCCAATTGACACATGAATCCTTTCTGCCTAAACAGCACTCCCAGCAAAGCGGATTGCCCTCTTTGACTCTGGACCATATATATGTATATATATATGTATATTTAACAGACAAATCCTGAAAATGCAGCAAGTCAAACCAAAAGATCTAGGTTCCATGTTGAAACTTCGGGAGAGCCTCGCCTTGGCGCCCATCTTCTGAAGCACCTCTGCCATTTCGTCCACGTGCGCCGCCTGGCAAGCTCATGCGTTCCGGTTCGCCGAGGTGTCGAGGTGTCATGCCACTTATATGGCCGTGGCGCTGTAATTTTGAGCCACACCCATGTACGGGGAAAAGGGTGCTAGATCCCTTCTGCAAGTGTCTCCACAACTCCTTGGCCGACTCAGGCACCAGAAGCTCCGAGAAGCTCCCAGAAGCTCGTCGGAGGGCCAGGGAGCTTTGTTAGAAACGGACCCTGTCGCGAACAGCAGCAAAGACACACACACACACACACACACACACACACACACACACACACACACACACACACACACACACACACACACACACACACACACACACACACACACACACACACACACACACACACACACACACACACACACACACACACACACACACACACACACACACACACACACACACACACACACACACACACACACACACACACACACACACACACACACACACACACACACACACACACACACACACACACACACACACACACACACACACACACACACACACACACACACACACACACACACACACACACACACACACACACACACACACACACACACACACACACACACACACACACACACACACACACACACACACACACACACACACACACACACACACACACACACACACACACACACACACACACACACACACACACACACACCACACACACACACACACACACACACACACACACACACACACACACACACCACACACACACACATGAATCATGATCAAAACCTCCAAATACCCGAGTATTGATTGTGGCTCCCATGGGGAGTTGGATTTATGTCTCCCAACTTGGAGGGCATTCATTGCAATTCATAGCCATGGAACCTCCTGGAAACTTGGGCAATGCGTCCGCTTCCAGTCAGCATGTCATCAAATGGGTGGAAATCGGAAAAATGATAAGCTACCTTACACAGGCTTGACATTTGCAGCTTTATGAGACCCCCAAAAGCATGTAACAAAAGCCCGTGCGACCAAGTTGACCCTGTCAGCAGCTCCGACTCTGATCCCCCCCGGAGGAAACATCTCGTGCCAAGCAAAGCACTGGGCTCTGGTTTCAGCATGCCAAACACATTTCAATTGATGTTTGTGCACGGGCCATGACGATGATTTCCGCATGCTCACGTTCATAGAACCCTGTCTCAAATCGTATTGGACAAAATATACCATGCTGGCTGTGTCTGCCCCGCAAATAGGAAAAGCTACTTGGCTTCATGAATTAGTTCCGCCCGTACACGTCCGTGGTCAGACATATGTTGGGGAACGCCGCTTTGGTTCAACCCGCACACCACAACTTCAACTCCAGCACATTGTCCTCACATCCTACCTGGAAGACTCGCACTCAATGACCCTGAAATCCCTAGGAGATCTTCGAGAATGGACTGGGATCCTTAGGCCTTGTTCACCCTCCAACTCCACTCGTTTTATTCCCCCCAGATTGCCAAGAAAGGAAGCCTGGGCTGCCCTCAGATCCCCTGCTAAAAGTCTAACTGTTTGTGGGTTAAACGGATACTACCACAAAAAAAAACACCTACAAAACAAGAAACAAACACACCAAAAAGCTCGAATGCTAAGGAACCACATCACTGGGAGCCACCGAGAACCTTCAGAAAATTAAGCCCTCCTCGCTCCGATCCCACAAGCCTCCACGGCGTAAGCGCGCTGGAACCAGGCGGGCGGCTTTAAAGGGCCGCACCAGGCCTGGTACATCTTCTCCATCCTCGAAATTGGCGGCGGTGGTTTGAGTCAAAACCGTTTTGGAAAACCGATCCCATTTTGGAAATTGAAATGGGATCGGTGCATTCACCCGTTTGAGAACCGGGATTTTAGTGGGGATTGGGATGTTCACTGGGGGTACGGGCTTTTGACCCTTGGCCAATTCACCCGAAGAAACGGACCCACAAGATCACACAAGATCCCAACGCCGGCTTTCAAACGTGGCCCCGCCCTTCAAAGGACGGGGTGGTCCCTCTTAGATTGTCTCATAGGGCTTGTCAAAGAACCACATGCCTATTCCGGAGAACCAAGGCAACCTTCATAACGGTTGATTCCTTAAGTACAAAGCGAGTAGGGAACAAAAGAAAGGCAGATTGCCGGGAAGGCTTAGGGTTTGCAGTAGCCCAGTTCATCTCAGCCATAGAAGTCAATGCCAAGCCGAGCTCATGTCCACCCCCAGATTCATCTAAGGGTGTGCTGCAGCCTTCCATCTCAGGCATGGAGTCTCTCTCAAGTTCGGACAGGGATCATCTTAGCCCGAAGGATTCACTGACTGTACCAAAAGCCAGGAGTAGATGCACGAATCACTTTACAATGGGATTGAAACAACTCAAATCCAGCGTGTTCCGCAAGAACCTGCACGAAAGAGAATAGGGGGTTCCCCTATTGCACAACCCCCCCCCCCCGGCCCTCGCAAGCATAGAATGCCAAGCCTTTGAACTCGAATGTCTTTCCAAGCCAAAAGCAAATGCCGCAGTCAAGGTTTGCCAAGCTCAGAACTGGTGCCTGCACCCAATTTTGGCTAAGTCGGAATTCCAATGGCTTCCTTCTTGCAGTCTGGCCAAACAGGGCCCACAAGGAAATGCCCTGAACAGGGTGTGGGCATTTATCAGGGGTCATCGTATTTGCTGGTATGCACATGGATGCACAAGATTTCCATGTATGTGGCCATGCACTCATACATCGCGTACATCACACACATTTACACTTACACCGACATAATCATCAGCATCAGTATGCACATGGTGTCATGTCTATATGGCTGTAAATGTAATTAATGAGTGAACATGTAAGTATTTACACGACGCCACAACTACTCAAACATAGATGACTTCCCCTGCCCGTTTTGACCCAGCATGGCCGGTAGCGCGTGGCCCTCCTGGGGATAAACAGCACCCCGTGGGCGTCTTTGACGCGGAGGGCCGCGCAGCAGCCAGGCTCTTTCACGCCGAAGAGGTATTGGAAGTTGCTCTCCTCCGGAAAACCCGAAAAGGAAAGCCACAAATACGAAAACCTCACCTAGGTCCTGCAGTAGAGAGGTTAGAATACGGGTACCAGTTTTTTTCTGTAGTCTATTTTAGTAGGGGAACCCTCCCCCAAAAGGGTAAAAGGGCACTACTGGGGGACCTAGCTCAAAATACCCATAAAACACGGGTTCTTGCAACCCAACATGGGTGAATTCCAACTTTTTGATGGGTAGTTCTTTCAGGTCCAGGTGGATGCAAGCGAAAATTGCCTGGTTCCAGGGTGCCTTGGAAGGCCCATCCCTAGAGCCTTGATTGTGGAGTCAGCTTCGTTTTCCTTCCCTCCTCCACTCCCTCCCTCGGCCCCGTGAAAATTTGGCACAAACGCTACCGGACCAAAGCTGGAGTCCGTACAAGCTGTCCTGCTTGAACTCCCAGTTGGTGTCCTGGCGTTCGGGCAGTTCCATTGACGTGTCCCATGCATTCACGAAAGCGTGGAGCCTTGAAAAGACGGGGCGGTTTCAGCCGCCTTTCAATGCGGGTGAAACTCAAACAGGCGTTGAGATCCCTGAAGCTCTACGAGCCGAATGACAAGTCACACACTCCCAGTTGCTGAGTGGGCCGGCCTGGAACTTCTCTGGGCAACCCCAAGGCATTCAGCAATATGTTCCTGTGGATGTTACGAACTACAGCGGAATGAAACTCGTGGAAGACAGCCTTACGCTTTCTGTTCCGTGGATCGCAGGTTTTACTTATACCAAGCAACTGCGCTTTTGTTGGGGTCAGACTGGCTTCAAAATGTATCTTCAAGATGGAAGACAGGCCGGCTGCTATTGCAAGGTTCCAATGGTCTCAGAACCGAAACAATCAATATTTGGTGAATGTGGAGGCCGGATAAAAAAAAATATGTGGTTCCTTTTTTCTGGAAATAGTCCAAACAAGAAATAAGCTGCAACAAACCTGTCCACGCAAGCTACAAACTCTCTTAGCAGCAAATAGTCAAATGTTCACAACACAGTGTTAGAGGATTCACACATCTGGAAACTGAACGCCTACAGTATTCTTGGGCTCAAGCAGCAAACAACTGAAAGGCCTCGCAGCTTGGGGCGCTGGGTCCATTTGGTAGTAAGTGGCGAGCCACCTGGGTTACGAGGCGCCAACGGTATTCACTCCTCTTAGGATGCGGTTTGTGGGCTATAACCTAAGTGAACTTCACCGCTTGCAATACGAACACCCAAGTAATCTGTGAGCAGGACAATTGCCACCTCTAGGTCAAGCAGATACTCCCCAGAGTAACCTGGAATCCACAAACCTCATCCTTTGCAGAGGATCCTGGATCCGGGTCCCGGTTTGGGGCTTCTCGCCAATTTGCCGGTGACTCGAACCGCCCCGTCCCTCCCGGCTCAGTCCGTGTCATAGACGCTCTGCTCGGCGCCCCCCTGCAAGAGGACCACGGCCTGATCGAGGCCCTTGGCCCGCAGCGCCTGGCCGAAACTCGCCGCAACTCGCCACAGCTCGTCGGGTGACCGGGTGTTTGACGACGGACCAAGGGGGTAATTTGAATACCAAGGAAGTGGTGAGCCATGGCAATAACACAACCTAGGGGTTATGGTAACTGGGGTATACCGATTTGGTCACTAGGCGGTCACGGAGGCATGAGCCGCCTGCGAGAACGCTGGCTGTCGCCAAACTAATCCCAATGCAATTTCAAGTCATGTGCTCTTGCGGGCCAAAATCTAGCTCCTGCAAACTGGGCCATCGAATGGCCGAGTCAAATCCTTTGGCCTCACGCCACACATACTGATATGTGCGCAGCTTGAGATGTACGTCTTTGGACGTCTTTAGACGGCTTCTGCTTCTTCTTTTTCTTCTTCTTCTTCTTCTTCTTATGAAGTGCTGTTGGCAAGGAAATGGACCTGAGGATGTACGATGTGGAAGTCACACACACACACACAACGCGGCAAGGTGAAACAAAAGCAAGCCCAATTGGTCCAAAGGCTCTGTGAATGTCTGCCAGGGCCGCTTCCGCGGTTGCGTGATGTGACCGTGTGTCGACTACTGGAAGGGACGTGCTTGGGTTGCATGTCTGGCACGAGCTCTTGAATTTAGTAGTTCATCGTCCACGAACGTCAACATCCCACAGCCCCCTCCAGCCAAGATGAGGTGAAAGAAGCCTTGCAAGGCCCCTCAGCGAAGTCACCTGCCAAGTACCCTGCTGTAAGCAGCTGTACTGAAGAGCCCTGTATATGGCAAGCCAGATTTAGTGCTGAATTGCGGCTGCTCGGATCGGGCACTGTGAAACCAACGATACGCTGGCCGCCCAAGGCAGCTGTACACGAGCGCCATCTGCATGCTGCATGTCCTGCATCACTTGGAAAAGCCTGGTGCAAGCTGGCCGGCACTTCTGGTTCAGTCCGACTGAATTGCTCCCCTCAAAGCATCATACAACAAATTCACAACCACTTAGACCTGGCCATTGCACCTATCCCAAATTCCATATCCGCAATTGGTTGCCACAACAACTGGGTGTCCATTCCTCCCACTGAAACCGCGGCCCCTCCCCAAGTCCCCAGATCTTCCGAATGCCAAAGCCCCAGCCTCCGGCCCCCCAAACGCCACGCCTGGCACAGCTTCTGGCGGTGGCCCTCGTGCATGGCCATGGGCACTTTCAGGGTGCCCTCCCCCATGGAGAAGAAGGGCGCGCCCCTCCGCTCCCAAGACACCTCCGGCTGTCCCACTGGCTTTGAGTCCGTTGGAAGGTTGGGGACCTCAAAAAGACGCCATCTCACTGCCAAGGGTTAACTGAAGGGTTTCCTGGCTTAAGAGAGACAACGAAATAATGTCTTAATGCTTGGTGAGAGTGTCTGTATACGTATATATGTATATATACATAGAGTGTGGGACGCTGTGGAGGCCTGCGTTTGTTCAGTAAAAGTTGTGATTTTCCTCAAAAAAACAAAGTTGTCTTTTAGGGCAAAGCAGTTCTACCTTCCATTGTGCTCTTGCTTCTCTAAGAACAAGTTATTTTTAGATTTGACTAAGAGATCTGCTGATCAGAAATTATGTTCCATTGTTTTCTTGCTTCTCTAAGAACAAGTTGTTTGTAGATTTGACTAATAAATCTACTGATCAGAAATTATGTCGAATACCTATGGAAGGTGAGGGTAGAATAAGCTATTCTCTTGCCTCCTCCCGTACCATCCATTGCATGCCACCAGTGAGCATAGGAGCTAGAGATCCTGACTCCAATGATGCAGACATTAGTGTTGCCCACTTGCCAGGTGGTCTGCCTCACCTCTATGCACTGGGCATGTGACTTGTCATCTGTCTGTAGTTGATTCAGAATGGCAAGTGGGGATAGCCCCCTCATTTCCATAAATTTCTTTCCCCAAGCTCAGATAGCAGCTTGGTAGCCTACGGTGGGTGCATTTTGTTCACAGGGAAGTGGGCCAAGGACTCAAAGACTTTCATCACCACAGCTTGCACATGCCTTCATTCCACCAACCCTTTGTGAGCTTCATGCGTGCCAAGTGGACATGCAAGATGCTGGTTCCAGCAAACCCGGATCTGACCAGCCACCCCGCTGCGTCCACTTCGAATGCCTGTAGCTCACAAGGGGATAGTGGGCCTCTGCCAGTTGTGGTGATGAGTCCTTCCCCCGCGTCCTGATTGAAAGAAACGCACATAGTATAGGCTACCAAGCTGCTACCTGAGCTTAGGGATTGAGCCTTTCCACTGGGGAGGGTGCTCTGCCCCCTTGATATGCTGAATGGAGGAAAATATCACTAATCATATTGCCAGTAGATCCGGAAATCTGAGTGGCAAGGCAGACCGCCTGCAAGTGAGCAACATTAATTTCTGATCATTGGTAATAGGATCTTCAGCTCCTATGCTTGCTGGCGGCATGCAATAGACGGTACGGGAGGAGGTAAGAGAATCACTTCTCCTACTTGCACCTTCCACAGGTCATCAACGCAATTTTGATCAGTAGGCCTCCTATGGTCAGCCCCAAAACTTATGTTCAGAAACATAAGAAACAATGGAACGCAGAAATGCTTCGAGCTACATTGCGCTACATGAAAAACACGAGTTTTTTTGCAAGAAAACAACATACCGAGGTATCCATTTCTGATGCTTGCTAAACTGTCTATGTTCATCAATAGCAAGCTAGCAGCCTGATGACACTGTTGCAGACTGGCCTATGGCAAATGTAGCTGAATGCCAAAGCCACGTACACAAACACATTCCATCCAATTCCGCCTAATTGCATTACCATAGATGGTGTGATGCACAAGGCAAGCCCTGAGAATACTACACGCAAATGGGCCGACAAGCAAGTGCACAGATATGCTTTTCTAGGACTAGCCTCTGTGCAATCAAGCCCTTCTTGCCACAAGTGCTTGCTCATGAAAGGTGAGGCAAAGCAGCAATCGAGGTTCGACACTGCTTTTAGCGACAACTTTCAATCCTGCATCATGAGCTGCACAAAAGGCTGGCCAGTATGGTGCTATTCATGCACATGCTCAAGCAGCAAACACTAGCTAAGTGAATGAGCTACTAAGATGCATAGCTCAATTCATAAATATAGCGACCCATTGAACTCCAATCTATTCTCAACTGAATTTTCAGTCAACAAGACATCCTGGAACTTTGCAAATAGGGGCTCGGGCCTGGTGGGGGAAACACAAACTAAAGGCGATCCAAATCCTGGCCTACAAATTGGGGCCCCAGTGATGCTGGGCTGAGTATGGGGGGTCTGGGGGGGGAGGGGGAAAAAAACAGATTTGACATGTTCAAGTTTTCCCCCCCACCCGCCCTTCTAATGCTACATATGAGGAATGCAAAACGTGCCTTGGGTTCGACAGAACACCTCACTGCGTTTCATGATTGTTTCTTCTTGTTTCTTGAGTCTATGCCGACAAATTAAGGGAGGACACTTGTGAAGGCCACAGGAGTCTGCTCGTGAAAGCACGAAACTTCAAAAACAACACAAACTACAATCCCTGAAAAACGCAGGCCTCCACAACGTCCCCTTCTGTATACATATGTGTGTGTGAAAGTGTCTGTTTGAGTATGTGTCTGCATTTCTCGGTGTGTGTGTGTGTCTCTTTTGTTATGTTGCTTGACTCGTTGCTGGTTTGTTTGTGTGTGATTGGGTATGTGATTGTGTGATTGTGCATGTGAGTGTGTGGTTGTGTGTGTGTGTTGTGTGCTTTTGCGCTTGCGTGTGCTTGTTGGTTTGCTTGGTTTGTTTCTAGATACGCATGTTGGTGGTTTGCTTCCGTGTTTCTTTGCTTGCTTGCTTGCTTGCTTGCTTGCCTGCTTGCTTGCTTGCTTGCCTGCTTGCTCGCTTGCTTGCTTGTGTTTCTTGTGAGAGTTCGATTGTCGGTGTGGGAATCATGTGTGTGTGTGTCAGAGTATGGTGCAAATTGTCTGCGTGCTGTGTATGTGCGTGTATGTGTATGTGTGCGTGTGCGCGAGAGTGTCTCCGTCTCTCTGTGACTTTGAGTCTAAGTGTCGCTGAGTCTATCTATGCAAGGCGTGCACATATGTTTATATATTGTTTCGTGTGTGTCTGTGTGGTTCTCTGAATGGCATGTTCTCCATGCACATCTCTGCACATCTCCGCACGTCTCTTGTGCCTGCGTGACCGTGTGTAGCTTGTTTGTGTGTTTGTTTGTATTTGTTTGTATTTGCTTGTATTTGCTTGTATTTGTTTGTTTATTTGTCTGCTTGAAAGCAGCGCGCATGTGTCTGGTGTGGTGTGGGTCTGTGTGGGTCTGTGTGGGTCTGTGTGGGTCTGTGTGTGTGTGTGTCTGTCTGAGCCTGTGCGTGTGCGTGTGCGTGTGAGGGTGTGTGCATGTGCGTGTGCGTGTGCGTGGGCGTGCGCGGGGGCAGGTGCGTGTGTTTGTGTTTTCGTGTCGCTCGCGTGTGCAGGCGCGCGTGGGTGCGTCAGTGGGTGGGTGTATGCGTGTGTTTGTGTTTGTGTGTGTGTGCGCGTTGAGTGTGTGGTGTTTTAGTGTATGTGTGTGTGTGTGTGTGTCTGTGTGTCTGTGTGGCTGTGTGTGTGTGTGTCTGTGTGTCTGTGTGTCTGTGTGTCTGTGTGTCTCTGTGTGTCTGTGTGTCTCTGTGTCTGTGTGAGTGTGTGGTTGTGTGTGTCTGTGTGTGTCTGTCTGTCTCTGTGTCTGCATGCCTCTTATTGCTCTCTGTCACCATGTGTCTCCGTGTGTCTTTGTGTGTGTGTGTCTCTGCATATCCTTGTGTCGCTCCGTCTGTCTGTGTGTCTCCCTGTGTCTGTGCATGCCTCCGTGTGTGTGTGTGTGTGGCTCCATGTGACGTCTCTATCCTGTGTTTGATGTGTGCAACCAACTGCAGGCGAAGATTGGGTTCTGAGGAAGTAATTCACACCGCTGGACATATGAAGGACTCAAACCTGCTTCCGAGTGGATGGTCAAAAGCGTCAGGACTCAAGCCATGAAAGCCCTGGAACCGTGGTCAAGCACGTCTCTTTGCGCCAGAGCCTGGGTGCATTGCTAATTTCAGACTGGAAATAGGGGAATCCCAAGCAAAGGACCTAATTACATCGTGGGCTCGTCTTACCTCCAAGTAAGCTGATATCATTTTCCCAAAAGAATTCCGAAAACTCGTGCTGGCTCCAGTCAAGTTGCAGTTCCTCCGGTAACCATTGGCGGCAAGCCTCAAGTCGCGACTGCAAGCATCTTGTCTTTGGCGCAAACTCTCACACTGTAGTGAAGACCGTAAGTAAAAATCGAGTTGATTAACCAGTTGTCAGTTAGTAATACAGTAGCTGACAACCAATGCTTCAGAATTGAGCAGTGGGCTGCAATACGGAGATTTTCCTCATCAGACGCAACAATCTGCATGTCCTTTGGTTGCAACGCATAACACAAGCATTCCTCTCATGTCACTATTCGATCGCAACAGTCAGGGGGAGATCGACACATTGATAGTCGAGCGGCCAGCATTCCCATTCTCCAGCTTCTGCCTCTTCTCCGGAGTTGCCATAGCTGCGAAATGTGATGCGGCTGCCCGCGCAAGCTTTGCTGAAACACCTCTTAGATTACAGGCACGTTGTTGCCAACTCTAAAATTGACTGACATACAATTTTCGATGCACAGCTAAGGTGTCGGAATCTGAACAATTGGCAAATAGCCCGTGGGTAAAAACATGTCCGAGAGGATCGTCTCCTTCGCGAGGAAGGCGATGGCAAAATTAGCGAATCTGCATGCCATTTGACTTTGCCGCGCAGGTCACCACACAAAGGAAGCCAATGCAACCCCCCCCTTTCGGCCCTCCGATTCCCATCGAGAAAGGAAATAACTCTCTTTCTTTGTTTGGGGGAGGGTGCTTGTTGAGGCCCCCCAAAACTCGTAACTAAGCCTTAGGACCATGTCATTCCACAAAAGAGTTAGTCGCCTTTAAGCAAGCCCGCAGTTGGTGGCTCAATCCTGAGGGCCCACAATTTGGGATCACGAATTGATCCACTCGTGTTTGGAGACAGCTTGCCCGTGGAGCTTGACATGTTATTTGGAGATTGCCAAAACTGGGTGGGAAGCCTTTGCCTTCAATGCCACATGGTTCGCCCGCTTCCCAAAAGTATTGAAGCAATATACCAAACTGGAAACTCCATCTCCAATCTAGTTGAATCATCAGGGATTTCAAAAGT